ACCTGTTGATGTTGTATGACTAATACAACACCTGTTGTTAGCTCTTCGAAGAAGATGAATAATGTAAACAAGGATCTTGTGATACAGGAGCCCGTAGAATCAATTGCCTCTTGGCAATGAAGAGCAACAACAGTCTTATATGAAAAGTGACAGTAGCTGAGGCCCCAAAAGGTCTCAAAGAATTAGTAAACCAGTTTTCTGATGACTATAAAGTCTATGTTAGTAAAGAAATTCAAATGAAGGGTGATCCCACCTCATTTGCAGAAGCCATGAGAAGCGTTTACTCGTTTAAATGACAAGAAGCTATGAAAGGTGAAATGAATTCGATGAATACCAACGATGTTTGGGACGTAGAAGTAATTCCTAATGGAGCCAAAATAGTAGGCTGTTAATGGGTCTACAAGACAAAATATGACTCCAAAGGAAATGTAGAAAGATATAAAGCACGACTTGCAGCAATATGCTTTACGCAAAGAGAATGAAAAGATTACAATGAGAGTTTTCTCTCTAGTCTCATGCAAGGATTCTTTTAGAATTATAATGGTGTTCATGGCACATTACGATTTAGAAATACGTCAGATGGATGTAAACACGACATTTTCCTCAATGGGGATTTGTATGAAAATGTTTACATGGCATAACCCAAAAGGTTTTGTCGTGGAAGAAAAGAACATATGGGATGCCACCTGTAGAAATCCATTTATGGGTTAAAAGTATGTCTCTAGACAGTAGTATTTGAAGTTGATGAAACGATAAGAAAGTTAGGGTTTTAAAGAAAATGAGAAGGACAATAGCGTTTATGCGAAGTTTAAGAATGGAAAATTCTTTTTCCAGATCCTGTGAATAGATGATATTCTACTCACTAGTAGTGATGTTAATCTGTCATTGGTGAAGAAGTTTTGTCCTCAAGTTTAAATGTGAATGATCTTGATAAAGCGTTATCGGTTCTAGGAATCAAAATTCACCGAGATAGAAGAAAATGGGGTATTAGGACTATCGCAAAGGCATACTTACAAAAAAATTCTAAACAAATAAAGTATGCATGCGAGTAAATCTACGCCTGCTCCTATAGTCCAGGGTAATAGATTTGGGAACTTTAAGTGTTCTAGGAACCGATATTAGATCGATCATATGAACATGGTTCCATATGCTTCAGCTGTTGGAAGCTTGATGAGTGTACAAGTACAAGTGAGAACTTACCCTGACGTAGTTTATGTATCCGGGATATTTTGGCAGAAGTCCAGTCCAGATATAGATCACTAGAATAGAGTTGAGAATGTCTTACAATTTTACAAAGTATCATAGGCCTCATGCTGAGTAAGAAAGAACAAGTACTCTCAAATAGTTGATGCTACAAATGTTAAGTCTTGGCGAGATGTGTAGTGAAATCCACAGTAGTTGATATCACTTGCAGTTGGGGTATTATTGTGGAAAAGCTCCAAATAAACAATTGTGGTGTCATCAGTGATACATACTATAGTATAGCTTGACGTGAGGCTTAAGGAACAGGCAAAAGAAGTTAAGGAAATTTGTACCCGGATTTAACAACGGTAGACTATAGCAATAACCATTTAAAGTAAGTTAACTCCTAAGACAACATATCAAGTGTGCTGCCAAACACATTGACACTAAGTTATATGTTGTAAAGGAGAAAATCCAGAATCATTCTGAAAGCATTGAGTATATAAGTACCAAGCAAGTACTTGCGGATCCGCTTACCAACACCCAATACATTCAGAGAACACACAGTCGGCATATGTTTACATGAAAGTCACACCACCCAATATGTTGTGACTATGGTATGGCAGTGCCCATGGCGTGACTGGTCCTGCCACGAGTTACCTAGCTCCACAACATGCCAGCGCGTCAATTTAAGTCACGGCGTATGCAATTATGAGACACTACTGTCTAGCCTAGTCAGCAAGAGCAATAGCACGATAAGAAGAGCTATTTCCTGACAATATAAGCCTTATTTGTTTGGCTATAAGCCATGGCTAAAAGTACTGTTGGTTGATCTGTTGTGAGAGAAAAATACTGTTCGTTGACTGAAAAAGTACGACTTATAAGCCAAACGAACAAGGCAATAGTTGTGGCCATGCTATTTCTAATAGTGTTGTATTTTTGGCCAAAAAAAAATCGGTCAATCATTAACACGCGTAGCTCAAGTCATCCTTAAGAAAACTATATGCCAGTCAAGATAAACATGTGGATGGGGAGGAACGTATCGTCAGATTGTAAGGTACGCACACTGTACGTATCCGGCACCACCCGAAAAACAAGTATCCACAGACATTAACAGGTGTTGCCCGTGCCTGTACATGCGTCTGCATCGTATTTTGTATACTCCCGTCTATGCAGGCCTAGTTAGAATGAGTATGCAAATATAGTAGTAGCACGTTACACACCACAGGACGCCACTAATCCACCAGTAATCCCGCGCATAATGGCATAGCAAAATGGATTCATAAGATTTAAGAAATCGCTTGCGTCTTTGTCATTTTGGAGGGGAGGAAGAGGAGGAGGCCAAGTCAGACAGCTAGCCAGGTCCCGGCTGACTTAAATCTATTCCTGATGGAGACGTGCGAACCGAGTTTCGCCCTTCAAGTTTTGGGAACATTTCTGTCATCGATTGACTTGATTAACGTCTCATCAGTCTCTTATGCAGAGACACTAATAAACGTTTTAATTTCCTTTCAGTTTTTGTTTTCTCAGGCCGGAACTCCGATTTGTTTGTTTCCTGGCCAGGTTCGCTTGTGAGTGGTGACTGTTTGGAACACAGGGAAAGCCTCGGTCGTTTTGGTAGGGGACAGACACCAAGCCGCTGCAGAACCAGGTCCGCGCGCGATAGGTACGGCGATTCAGTGCCTCAACGAAAGCTGCATCTACATGACTACATGCATCCATGTCGACTGTCGACGCGTAAGCATCAGCCTGTTCGTTCGTAAACGATCGTGGATTATTTCCTGCTAACTGGTTTGGTGTGAAAGAAAAATACTATTTTAGCTTATAATACGATCGTATACGAACCAGCGATGCAAGTTGGTACGATGAAAAAGAAAAGCAAGGCACGTGGCTTTCTCCTGCCGGAATATTGAGAGAGGCGGGCGTCATGACAAGGAGCCGGGCGGTGGAACCTCGCTGTCGACCACCGCAAGTCCAGTCCCCTTGCTTAGTTTAAGCGTAGGAGAATATGTTACACTATAAAACATTATTAGGGTAAATCCAAAATGGAGCTTAGCTACGCGCCTTTTATTGGCGGCTTCCCTGCTCCATTTGATTGACATGACCTGTCTAGCTTAACAAGGTCTGGTGAACTTTCGAGTCTCAGAAGAAGAAGCTGGGGTGCTTGTTTGAGTGGATATGATTACTCGAACGCCGCTCCTCGCAGCAAAAAAAAAGAAGGAAAAGCAGCAGCAGCAGCAGCAGGGCTTTCCTTTGGCTCCGGCGAGGACTGGCCACCGCGGCCAGGCAGCCGGCAGGACTGCAGAGGGGCCAGGATCACGTCGGGCAACCGATTCTCTGCCGGACCCGGACCGCCAGACTGCCACGCTCGCGAGCAACGGCCGGCCGGACACAGCCTGCTGCAGCAGCAGGGCATCTCATCGTCATCGTCTCTTTTATGTATCCAATGCACAGCCACCAATCCTCGTGTATGGCTTGCCTACTGATGTCTCTGGTTTCTCTCAAGTTGGCTTCTGATGTTTATCCAAGGCTAAGGAAAAATTCAAACTAAGGAGTAAGAAAATGACCGTGCTTGGTTATTCAAAGTCCTTTGGTACATGCGATGCTCTCTTTCTTGCCTGCTCATGTCAGCTGATGCGACCATATAATTAATTCCTTGGCGGATCAAGCCAAATGCAGGTCATTAGGATATACACTAGCCCTCATTAGGATCAAGCCACATGCTCTTCATCTGTCCCTTTGCAGTTGCACGGGCCCCACCCCCGTGCATCCAGTGTCATCTGCTCTTGTTCTCCCTCCGGTTGCCCCTTCCTGATTTTTTTCAGTTTCCTTTCAGGCCCAAAAGAGAGGAGGACCGAGACGGACGACGCCTCGCTTCCCTCCTCGTGATCTCTTTATCATCACGCGGGAAAGCGAATCTCCGTACCCATTATGGACCCTGATCCTTTTTCACCAGCCCATGGACAGGGTCACAGGGAGTACCGGAGTAGTATGAGCAGGTACTGCACCGTCCAACATGCGAATTCTGTGCTAACATAGGAATTGACACCGCCGTTCATCACTGATCCAGTGATCTGAATACCTGATTCGCACATCACGCGTTCACGCCACTATGCCAGGCATCACACAGCACTAGAAAGACACCAACATTCACAAGATGGAGAGTGAATGAAAGTGAAAGTGCGAGTGAATTGCCTTGGTAACTGACAGCTAACGAGGTGAATTTGAGCATCCATGCATGGTGCCCGGAAACTGAAGCTTGCTTGCTTGCTCCCAGCCCATCGCTCCGACTCCGACTCCGACTCCGACTGGCAAACCAGAAGCCATCATTTTCATACGGGAAGGGACATGGAAAGTTAGCCATTCATCCTGGCCTAAAGAACCAGTAATTTTACCCAAAAATGTGATTTTTTTTCTATTCTAAGCGATGGAACATATATCTGGGCTAAAGAACTAATAATTTTACATTTCCCAGTCATGGAGTCACACCTAAATCTTCCAAAGCAAACGAGTTAATAAGCACGCAAGAACATATATTTTTTCCCCTGTTTGTTTCTGGAATTCTAGGCGCAAGAACATCTGCATGAGTGTGAGAACACAATTACGCAACCATTAGTACCAGCCACATTTTCAATCACAGGTAGTTTTTTCTTTCACCGGTGGCAACTGGAAATTTTAGTTTCGGCTGAAATTTGTGGCGAAGACAAAACGCGCGCGGCTAGCTTTGCTTTCATGCAGCGTCTGATCACGAGGCGACGACCCCGACTCCCGAGAACATGCACCATGGTACTACGGATCCTACCGATATCACGAAGATGCTATACCGGCGACAGGCTTGGATCGAGAGGGTAGTAGTAGCCGCCGGGGAGCTGGAGCTGGTCAGCGGCGGCGGCGCCGAGGTCGGGGCCCGCGCAGAAGTCCAGCAGGAAGAGGGACGCTTCGCCGGCGCCGTTGTCCGCCGTCGACCAGTTGGAGGCCGACGACGCCGCGGAGGCGGCCGAGGTGGAACCGTCAGCGGCGACGTCCGCGGCGGCGAACGGGTCCCCGAGCGCCGGCGCCAGGAAGTCGTCGCAGGTGTACTCCTCGGTCTTCACCGTCGGTATGGCGAGCGACGGGAACAGCGACGACGCGTGCGCGGTGGAAGCTGCAGGCGCCGGCAGCCGGGCGTGGGGTGGCGGGGACGGGGCGGAGGCGGCCGCGGCGGCGAGGAGGCGCTTCTTGAGCTTGGTGTTCCAGTGGTTCTTGACGTCGTTGTCCGTCCTCCCCTCCATCTGCGAGGCTATCAGCGACCACCTGCGCGTCGATCGGTCAAAGAGATGCTTGGCATGCATGCCTTCAAGAAAATCAAAGAATCGGGGAGGTCCAGGAGGACTCACTTGCTCCCGAGCTGGGTGTAGAGGGACATGATGACGGCGTCCTCCTCGGCGGTGAAGCCGCCGTGGCGGATGTCCGGGCGGAGGTAGTTGAGCCAGCGCAGCCTGCAGCTCTTGCCGCACCTCTTGAGCCCTGCATGCGACGCGACCGGCAACGACGACCCGTCGTCAGTGCATCTGTTCATGGTAGTACGGCACATGCACTGCAGTGTGCAGATACCAGCCGTTGAAATAGGAGGAGGAAGGGGGAGCACATGGTCGATCGCTCACCGGCTTTCTTGGGCATGGCGATCCAGTTGCCGCCGCTGCCGTGGCGCTGGACGTAGCTCCGCAGCGCCTCGTCCTCCTCCGTCGACCACGGGCCCCGCTTCACGGCCGCCCTGTCGCAGCACGGCGTCCGCCCCATGGACGACACGCACACACACCTCCCTGTCGGCCCACGTCCACCAACGGACCAACCCGCGGCCTCTTCGTGCTCCTCCTCTCTGCTAGCGCAAGAGGAAGAGAACGAAGAGAGGATACAGGCCGAGGCCGAGAGGGACAGAGACGGCAACAAGACTAGAGGGCGGGCGACTGGCAGCTGTGCTGCAGCCTGCAGGTCGTACTTGTACCTGTCCTGCGTACGTTGGAGCCACGAGCCATCCGTCGGTCCCTCTCTCTTGCTCTTTCTCTACCACTGCGGAAATGCGGAGTGCAGCACACAGGTGCTGTCGTGCAGAAATGGCACGGTTTGGACAATCGCAGACGGCCAGCTGGGGGTGAAAAAGAAGAGGAAGAGGACGTGTCGGGGAAAAGACGTGTGGTGTGGATGGACTGGCCGATCTCGCAGCGTCGTTTCCTGTTTCGAAATCGATTCTCCTTTCCCTTCTCAGCTTCTCTCTCCCCCTGTCTCCTTGCCTGGGCTGTTTTCTGCCAGTTTCAGACACGGCCTCCTCTTGGCTCTTGCAGGTGCAGGGCGATCATGAATTCAGGATTCACACAGGACAGGACTGGACTGCACTCCACAAAGACTTAGGCCCTGTTTGATTCCGAGCTCCTAAAACTTTAGTTCCTTAAAAATTTTAGGTAGCCTTCTTCTAAAAGAGTGTTTGGTTGCACCTTCTAAAACTGACTAAAAGCAATAAATGTTGTTGAACAAAGACACTTTTACCCTTCTTTAGGAGAGAGAGAGGGGAAGGGGGCAATAAATGAGGGGCAGTGGAGGTCCAGAAAGAACTTTAGGAGGTTTTAGGAGGGGGTGGAGCTCCTAAAGAAAAATCAGTCTCCTAAAACTTTTAGGAGGTTTTAGGAGGGGGTGTTTGGTTCTTTAGACAGATTCTATCTAAATTTTAGCTCCTAAAGCTTTTAGAAGGGTAACCAACCAGGGCCTTACAATTGTCGATTTGCTACCGCTGCTGCTCAGGGATTCGCCTTCACCGGATCAGCTTTCAGGGCCCACAGTTGATCGATCACAAGCGCCAGCCCCAAGAGGAAAAGTGTTTCGGCCTCTGTAAATTGTAACATCCCTTTTGTTTTGTTGTAGGAAAAAGATGGTAGGGACTGTGAACCTTTATATTACAATATAGGAGAGAAAGTGTTGTCACTGCACGTCTGGACGAAGCTAATCCTTTATCTAAATAAATTTTAAAAAAGGGCGGGATGGTTTTAGGGTACGGTATCAAATAAAGTACTAGCTCTATTTCAGAGTAATTGACAACTTGGGTTTTTACTTTCTGCAAGCCTTGACTAACCGTGTCTTGGTTAAATAAAGCGAGAAAAATACCAGCAGATTCTTTACTTAATCAAAATCACTCCAGGCATGCTATACATTTCCGGCTGACTATTATGTAAACATTTGTGTAAAAGACGAGCAGTCAAATTGAAGGTTAGTACTTGAGAGATACTAGTACATCAGTTCTAAAAAAAGATGCAATTCTAACTCTATCTTTAATCAAACTTTCTAACGATGCTTATTCTATATTAATATTTGTTATAAAGCACGGTGCATGCATGCATGTCTGGAGGACCGTGGGCCGTGGCACGGCTCCTGTGCGTGCAGCCTGCAGGCTGCTCTCAGTTTCTGCGCCTCAACCGGCCGGCCGGCCGGCAGGCACTGGTGCAAGTCCAGAGTACCCGATACTGTCGTCATGGTCTGACCGCCTGACCAAACCAGAGGCATATCCTTTGCTCCGTTTGCTTGCTGTTCCGTTCCGTGTCCACTGTCCAGTGTCCTCCTTCCTGTATCAGTCTATCTCATCGCTCATCCACAGTTCCACACACCGTAGCCACCAACTGTAAACACGAAGCATCGCCATCTTGTGTTCTGTTCTTCGCGCGGTCACAAATTCTTCACTTTTATTTTTGATGAAGCTGTGAAAACGCGTTAACGCGAAGCTGTTAGCATGAATACGAGGAAATTAAAGGAAATAAGAACGGTGACAGATCTACATTTTCTTTAGAATTCTGGGGGGAGAACCCCTGTGTCCTGAGTCCATATCATCATTTCCTTGCAAAAGGGGAACCCACGTTTTCATCGCACGGTTTTTGCAACGGAATCACACACACACGCACACAACCTGGCACCGGCAGCAGTGCAGCACATACAAGTCCATACTCCAGCACAGCAGGGCCCCAAGTCCGGAAGTCCCGACAGAAACAAACGACTTTTAGGTACGATCGAGAGTGATTCGTCAGCTAATCAATGTAGTATGTGATTCCTTTAGAACGGAACAAAGCGTGGGATTCTTTTAGTTTCTGGGAATGATTACTGCGATCTGAAAGATCTTTTTCCAAATGATTACAGCCTATATACTAGTCTTATGCAGGGAGATGAGGACTATCTGGTTTTGCACCCATCATTTCAGGCGCTGAGACATGAGATTTAGTGATTTACTACCCTGGGTTACTTCCTCCGTCTCCAAAGTAGGTTAATTTTCAAGAGTTATCATAAATCATTTTTTTGTTTCACTTGAATTTATAGGAAAGAGCACCAATATTATGACCCTGAACATACTATGGAAATATACTTAATCAATAATGTATCTGCTCTAATGATATTAAGTTGGTATTATGTTTCGATAAAATAAATTAAACTTTGAAAATAACTTAAGATAATTTTATGAGTTAATTTATTTATAGATTAATGGGCTATGGAGCCCACCATCACTTTGGTTGTCTATCTGTTTCTGATCTCATCTCGATCAAAGAGACAAAATCTTTTTTTCTGATACAAACAAAGAGACAAAATGTTGGAATAGCTAACGACTTTTTTTTAGCAAATGGAATAGTTAACGACTGTGCGCCCATGAATGAAAGTAATGGACAGGATCAGGTGGAACTTTGGAAGGACCCAGCTCAACATAGGCCCGAACGTTGGAAGGCCCAACTATACATGTTGTGTCCACTTTGAAAATTTGGGCCTCAGACACGCTGTCCTCGTGTATAGTTGGGCCGGGCAACTGGGAACTGCCAAGGGCCCTGAACTACACGCCGCCGCAGTTAGGTCTATTTTGTTACAGGCCTGGACGGTGTTTGGGCTTGGGGGATTTAGCGATCAGCCGATCACAGTATCACACTGAGCGTGAGCGTGAGCGTGAGCTTGAGCTGTAAGCCTGTAACAGTAGTTGAAACGAATAGCACTTAGGAGTAGTACATGCCTACTAGAAACCTAGAAGACTGACAGTTTCCGTGATTCATGACAGCATACTAAACATGTATACTCCGTACTCTCTCTCCGTTTCAAAATAATGTTATTCTAAGTGAAAATTAAATTCTTGAATTTGACTAGGTTTATTATACAGATATATGTAATTATATATCTAGTGACATTTATTACACATAACAAGTGTAAAACTTGATGTTTTGACTCCTTGAAAAATAGAAACGAAATTTTTAACTCCTGAAAATAACAACAATTTTTAACTCTAAAAAAACAAGAATGACACTCTTTTTTAGACCGCATATAATCTAAACATACACTCAAGTACTGCTAGCAGGATATATTCCCTCCAACCTAAAATAAATGTGCGTCTCATTTTCTTGAGAAGCCAAACACTTTTGAATTTGATTAGTTATATAGAAAATATTATCAATATTTATACTTAGAATAAGTTTGTTATAAAATATATTCTACGATTATACATTATAAATATTAGTTTCTTGTGTATATTATTAGAACAAATTTAAAAGAATTGACTCAGAGGTGTGTTGGGAAAGTGGTATTACGTACTGCTGAGCACGTTGCTGTACAGTAGAGTGAAAAGAAAGAAAGGTACTAGCTCAACTAGTGCTCGTTGCTGTACAGCTGAGCACGGGCCACGGAGTCCGTATAGCTGAGAAAGACAGCTTGGGCAGATGTATTTCGATCCGACGCGACGCTAGAAAGCTTCGCTGAAAAAACTTCGCTTAAAATACTGTTCATTGATTTATTGTTAAAAGATATTTACTAAAATAGTGCGGTTCATATGATAAGAACCGATGACGACCTGATTTTGGTTCCGGGTGCCGTTCAGAGAAAGGGACGGACCACATATCTTAGATTTGATAGAAGGCGACTGCACGACACAGAGCACTGACGCTGCCCGCCTGACCGAAGTGGTTGGACACTGGAGTGGATTGGATCATTGCTTGGGCGTGGCCCCCGGGCAAGCAAAGATTTGCGCAAGTTCTGGGACACCCGTGCGGTACAATATCTGCATCCAGATCCTGTCGCGGTGTACTCCAGTATACTAGTGCTGTTGAGAGATCAGGGCCACGTTTAGTTTCACCGAAATCTAAAATTTAGCACCAAATAAAAAGAAGATTCTCTATCACATTAAACTTATGGTACATATATGGAGTATTAAATATTGATAAAATTAAAAACTAATTGCACAGTTTAGTTATACATTACGAGACGAACGTTTTAAACCTAATTAGTCAATAATTAAACAATTATTACTAAATAAAAACAAAACGCTACCGTGCGCTACAGCGCTACCGAATTCAGCGGCGCCGAATCCGGCCGCGGCCCAGAATAGCAAGACTTGTGCGGTACGAGTAATTTATTTTGGTGAAGCTGGCTCGGCTGGCCGGCCAGCCCCTCACATAGATGTTATTCATATAAATCAGTCAGCAGACTTCTTTTATATAAACAAATCAGCAATGATATGAACCAACCAACCAAACAGGCTGATGGATAATCTACTGTTTCTGATGGTGGTTCTTGCTGGTACCAACTCGATAAAAAATAGTCTGATGTACTAAGTAAGAACCACAACTACAAAGAGTTGCAAAACCTTATTAGGGTTTGTCCTACTCATGTATTGGTCTAGCTTATCAAGCTCGAATCTATGCGCATCACAGTTGGATTACACTATGTGACTCGTCTTCGACATTTTCTAACCTCACAACAAATGTCGACAATACCTATCAATTTAAGTTGAGTCA